ATGACGAGTAACATGCTTCTCATCACCGCCCCATCCACCATGAACAGAATTTCAGCCAACTCGCTCTTCAGCAGATCAGATGACGAGTAACATGCTACTCATTAGTGCCACATCAGAGCTGTTCGACACAGAAACCAAGCTTCCGATCCTGTCGTTCTTCAAGCAAACGGGTCAGATGACGAGATACATGCTTGTCATCATCACCATAGATCACCCCTTGGAGAGTGAGGAAAACTGCGCCAGTAGCAACACCAAGCTCAACCGCAACTGCCGAACTCTTCACTTCCCGCGACTGTACTCTGACAATGTCAAGGAAACTTGGAGTGCTGCTGGCTGCTTCGGACCGGATTTTTGAAGACTATTTGGTGCCGTTGCATGCCGCATATCCTCATTTCTGCGCTCTGACCTCAGCCTCAACCTGGGCCTCCGGTCGGAGTCGGGTCGCTGGACGCGTGCTGGCTGATCCGCAGTGTGACTGCGAGCTACTGGGAACGTCCGGCGAATAACACGAACATCAACCTCGACCTCGACTGAATGCGCCTTGTGATCAGGTGGCGGGGCAAGCTGATGGTGAATGTCATCGAACAGCGGCTTGATGACCTGTAGGCAGCTGATGTGCATCGTCTTCCCTGACATGTGAGCTTGCTGGTGTCACTCTCATGCTGTGTCAATGGCTCCGTTGAAAACCATTCGCCAAGTGTCCTGGCGCGTTGCATCTGCTGCAACACTCGATCAGCGCTTCCTGATGCCCTTGCTTGCCTAAACTAACTAACTGCCACAAATTAAATGGCCGCCGTCAAAGACCGGGCCTCGTCGAAGACTTGCCTTCCATGTTCTCGGAGGATGTCGAAGACGCCATTCAGACACTTGGCTCTCACCTGAACCGCCCAACCCTTTCACAAGAGAACCGGACGGCGCAAGATCCGAGGGTGGAGCTTCTCTTCGTGGGTCACCCACCAGCATGGAAAGGCCCCGCAGAATGGGAAACCTTGTAAGACCCGGAAACTCCCCAGGGAACTAGCTGCTGCGCTTTCCCACGGCCGGCGCCATGCAGCGGCTGGATGGCCCTCCGTCACAGAATGCACATCCTCCGGGCGCACGATGACAACTCACTCTTATCCTCACACTTCGCCCCGCATCAAGTCCTGGGGCAAGGAAGTACCCGATGGGAGATCTTTCGTTTGTGGATCGGCCAAGAATTCGGCGGCCTCGCGAGACCATAACAAGTCACTGGTGGAAGCAAACCAAGCAGTTTGATACTCTCACGGAAGTCAGGCTCAGATGGCCTGTCCCGGCTTACTTATGTCCATACTCCCGCTCTTGCTGTCCCACTCAAACCTCGAACAGGCCTTGGCTTACTGGGTAGAATTCACATGAACTTACGGTATAGTTGCAGCCTTCCGCGCTGTTCGTGATGCGACCCTTGCGGCCCTTACACACGAACCTGTTGCCGACATCGAAGCATCAGCGTCTCTATCAAAGCAAGCAAGCCAATCGCCTTGAGGAGGAACCCTATCGCCAGAACCGAGATGTCCTCTCTGACCTGTGGCATCGCATTTGCTCGTAGGGACCACCATGCAGTGAAGTCAAACTTTTGAGGCTCCCCCCGTCCTAGGCGCCTCTTTCGCGGCCGCTGTCTTCTCTTCGCCCTGGGACTGCGCGTCCTTGAGGGCGATGATTTTCTTGTCCTGGACCTCAACTCACAGAGCTCCCCACAGGAGGAAAACATCGGTGTGGAGAGCCTTGCACTGTGCGAAGGAGAGCAGGGCCCGAATGCCGTCCGTGAAGTTCTCCACGAAAATGTGGTAAGAGTCGTCGAAATTGACCTCCCATCACTGCCAGTGCACACCAGCTAAAAAGAAAGGATCAGTGAGAACCTTCTCCACCACTTTGAAGGCCACCTCGACTGTCGCCTGTGCCGATGGGGCTAGAAGAACGCACGGGTGCAGAAGGCTCTGCCGCAAAGGCCTCCCCGAGTGACGGATCTTGAGCAGCGGCAGCACAGATGTGGAGAACCGCTTTCCATCCGGACCTTCTGCAACCACATGTCAGGCGACAGGACGAAGGAAGTCTCTGGTAAGGTCAGAACCGGATGCTCCGAAAGCTTGCCTTGCACTCGGGCGGCATCAGACAGGGCAAGCAAAGGCGCTTAGCCGTAGCAACTGCCAAGATCAAGTGGGCAGCTTTGAAGCAATATCTGAGGTCGCGGCGTCAGCCATATAAGCAATGATGTGAACCAGGTAGTCCTGAAGCACACATGTTGGATGCGGAGACAAGAGGCAAAACACGGTAGGAAAGCTGCTCTAAAGGATGAAGTTGCTGTTTCGCTCGGAAGGAATCCAGATCTCCTTTTCCATGCGGCTCCCTGACACGATTTTGCAACTTTGCAGAAATGGGCAATGTTGTAAAACCCTCAGTTCCAGAAAATGGCGAGGAGGGTCAGGCTGATTCAGGCTCGTTTTGCCCGCTAACCGGCCCGAACCCCGTCGCCCCCGTCACTTCTTCGACCTTGGGTGCGCCTTGCAAAGCGAGATCCGAACCCCAGAGAGGCTTTGGGGAATGGGCGAAGATGGCAAACCGTACGACGCACAAGAATACTCATCCAGGCCTAGCCTCCGAGCCTAAGAGCCAGGGCAGGAGGCTAAGGACGTCAGGAATTGAAGATACCAGTGCTGTCCTTGACCTCCTTGCTGACGGGCGGAGGCCCCACCTCAGGAAAAGGGGATTTCAGCCCGCGAGTCGAGCGCTTCTCCGAGGCTGGAGCCATGATGGTCTCGAAGGGCTTCAGGAAGTCGGCCTCTAAGTGGGCCGAGATGGGCCGAGGGAGGGAGGAAGGCTCTGAGCTCGGAGTCGCTGGGAGCTGCGCCTGGAAGTTGTAGCCCGCAAGCTCGTCCTTCTCCAGGAACTTCATCGTCAGCTGACGGAGGGAGTCCATGGCCTGGGAGGCTGGGACCCGTCTCATCAAGGCTGCAAGAAAAGGCACGGCATCTGTTGCCCTTTGCAGCCGAAGGACGAAGTTGCACACCCGCACGTTCTGATGAGCAGCCACCTCAGCAAGCTCAACCATGGCAACAGGCACAACAGTCACAAGCCGATGCATCCAAGAGGCATCCACGAAGTGGCTGCTCAGGACACGCCATATCCGGCCCCAAACGACTCGCATCCGCCCCATGTTGAAGTCGGCCACCTCCCCCCAACAGCACTCTGCCAACTCAGGTGCGAGAGTTTCCATGGGAGCGCGTTCCTCCACCAGCTTCTGTAAAGAGAAGATGCGGGGCTGGTCGGCCAGGGCCAACTCTTCCTTGGAGACCTCGAGAAGCTTCTTAAAGCAGAGCCAGACACTTTTCCTGCCTGCCCTCCCCGCCTTCGCCAACTGAGTCACGAAGTGGACCACTGCGGGTGGAGACAGCTGCGTGGACCTCCCCCCGCACAGCTCCACAGCCCGACTACATGCGACTGCGCTTCTCAGTGGTGCGCTTGTTGAAGAGCAGCTCAATCTGAGATGCGTCGATCTGCGAAGCGATGGACTCCGAGTTCACCTCCCAGACTTCGCCAAACTGAAAGCCTGAACCCCTTTCTTTGGAGCCCGATCCGGGCCAGGGGCCAGCTCGACGTTGCGATCGTCCTGCCCAATGGCAACCAAGGCGGACCTGTCGCGGGGCGGCACTCAGCCATCAGCACGCACAGCTGAGCATCACACCATATCACATCATGGAATGATGCTGGGGCACGGACACCCCCAAGCCATGTGCACGACGTTTGACAACCTGTAAAACGAGGATTTTGCTAACAGGCAACCCCGAAACCCAAGAATTCCTCTCGGGCTAAGCCTGTTGTCCGGCAATGCTGGCATTGCTCCTGAGCAGCTCAGACAGCTATGACTGGCTGTGACTGGCTAACTGCAGCTAACTCGGGGTCGATGGAAGTTTACGCCCCTCCTGCTCGCAGATCCGGGCGAGAGAGCCTGGCCGAGGCTGCAAAAACACGCACATCGGTGCATCAGCAGCTTGGGCGCTGAAGCTCGGAACCTCCTCTTCCAACTGGAAGAACTGGAAGTCCTGCCTGTGTGATTGCCAGGTTCCAGGCCGAGGAGCGGCTCCCGGGGAATGGCTTGGAAGCTGGCCTCGCACCGCGGGTGCCGATAAGTTGGAGCCGCTCCAGCTGGGAGATGCAGTGCAAGACCTGGCCGTGCACCCAAAGGAAAGCCATCATCATGACATGAAATGACTAAGACTCTAAGATTCGTGCGTACAGCCAGGAGGGTCCCAGGTTGTTTCCCTCGGAGAGTCCAATGGAAAGCAAAGCCTCGACGAGTGGCTGCATCCAATCCCCTCTTTCAGAAGGGAAAGCCTCGCCTTGATGCACTCGATGTTCTTCTGCTTCATCTCCTGCAAGCAGCTGCGAGCAAGTTGCAACCGAACCCTCGGTGTTTTGGTATCACGACTTTCCCGCCTTGATCGTCGTCAGGTAGGTGAACTTGGCCAAGGACGAAACAAAAGCATCGCGCTCTGTGTCCATGTCGAAGCGCGCCGCGATCCTGAAGCCCAGCGGCGCAGCACCCCTCCCAGGGCTACAGCGAAGCCGTGGCTCCCCACCTGATGCAGTGCTTGAAGCCCTCAATGCAGAGCTCGATGCTCTGGGGTGTGCCCTGGCCGAAGAATGCCCATCTGCTTCACTGAAGTCCGGCATGCAAAACCAAGAGAAGCGCCTGTTCTTCGGTTCATACCTCCTTCATGTCACGAAACTGCCCAAAACATAAGGAGAGTAAGGCTAAGCTAATCAGACAAAGACCGCCGATACAGAGGGGCCATGAGATGCAACCACCACTGCAAAGGCATCTAAACTAAACGGCTGACCGACATCCTTGGTAGAGTTACGGATGCCGTTGGAACTTGCCACCTGTACAGACTTGGGATCAACAATTCTCAATGCCACACTGCCGGCTTTGAAGCCGCTCAGCCTCACCGTCTGAACACCGTTCAAGTGGTTCACGATCAGAAGCTTTTGGGATCCATCCTTTGCCACGGCTCCCATGCAACTCAACGGCCCTGGAGCATCGTCAGAGGACTGGCAATCCGTCGGCACCAGCAGATCTCCGGGTGCGAACTCTTCGATCAAGAGCTTCAGGACCCAGTACCTAGCGTTCCCCAAACCCGTTCGCCAGTCTAGCAAGCTGACACTGGGATACTGCGGGAGGGGAATCCCCCACTCCGGGATCTTCGGGCTTCCCGCCAGCTGTGACTGACCCAGCACTTCGACACCCAGGGGAGCCAAAGTTGCAAAGACATAAGCGTAGGCGGCCCCCGCGGCGTTCCAGTAGATGTCGGGAAGGTCCGCGTCGAGGCCCCGGGATGGATCGTTGTCGCCCGGCATGATGACTCCGAGCTCGTCCAAATCAAGCTTGACATCAGGGAACGAAGACGAATTACGCATTACCAGCACGGTCTCTTTGAAAGTCTTCATCCATGCTGCAAAATCACCAAAGAAGCCAGAGGAATAGGTAGAAGGATCTGTACGATTGACACAGGATGCATAGTGGTGCACCGAGATGTAGTCAATCGGGGGAACAGGTGAGCTGTGGTTGCTACGATTCAAGAATGGCGGGACCCAATCTGTCGAGACACCACCAAGTCCCATGAAGGCCGGGGCATGGTCCCAGCCACCAACGGCTCTGATCATCTCAGGCACGATCACATCATAGTCATGAATATATTCAGCAGCGCTGTAGCCATGCTCACCCTCGTTGAACAACTCTCAGACATGGCCGTTTTGGCGGTTGAAGCGAGTGTAGGCAGGGCCCCCCGTGTGCTTGATCCCGTTCTCGTCTACGAACTCACCTGTCACAAGATATGACAGAAGACGTCCAAAGTACGCAGCCATGGTCTTGCCACTTGGATCCAGGAGATTCCGTCTGTCGCCACGCACGTATCCGAAGAAGGACTCGTCCGGGTTTGATGGGTACGAACAGTTCTGTGTTTGATTCTTGGCATCCCCGAAAAGCCAGCAGGGCTGCGTTGCAAAATTGAGAACTACGGTATGATTCTGCCCATAGACCGCATCCATAAAGTCCTCCAGCTGCGGCATGATGTTTGTAAAGTCCCAGGAGGTTTTGCTCCGAGTGGGGGCATCCAGCTCTGCCACACTCTTCTTGGGATAAGGAAACCAAGGCACGAAGCGCACCAAGTCGGCCTGCAAAGCCTTCAAGGAGGCCCAGGCAGCATCGTGAATCGGATTCGGGAAGCTCGTGCCGTTAGGCGCAACGAAAGTGCGGTCCAAGATGGGGTTAGAGACCACCTGCAGGGCAGTGGCCTATTCTACCTGAACCTGCGAACTGAAATGCTACTCCACCTGTAGTGTGGTCAGTGTACGCGAAGTCCGGATCACTTCAGAGAAGTTCACAGAGACATCCGAAGAGCCGGCGCCGGTCACCAGAAGCCAGATCAAAAACACGTTCATGGAGGCCAGAGGGCGGGGAACAAATGCTTGCTTGCCGATGAAACGCCGTACATTCGACGTACTACCTGCTACTGCGGATGCCTTTGGAGAACGTGTTCGTCTGCACGCTCACTGTTTATGCTGCTATCAAATGGCACTTGTTCATCGAAGGAAAAAATTAAGCAAACTGGATGTCAGCAGAGCCAGGAAGTAACAGGACAGCAGATGCACCTCCATCTCCAGGAGGACGGCCAGTGTCGCCAAATACGGCCAGCAGGCCACCTTTTAGGACGATTTGACGCCCAGAGACCAGCCGGACACCCCCAAAAGCACCTCGAAGAGGGGCTTCACATGCTCCACGCCTGGAAAGGAATTGAAAGCTCAGCTGAGCCTTGGAGCGGCTCCGAGGCTCGGGCTTTGAGCGACCACGTAGGCGGAGCTCTTCCTTCGCATCTGCATCGCGGCCTCACAGTGTAACGTCACTCTTCTGTATTCAACGATTGGACTTCAGTGCACATATTGTCCTTCGTCTTTTGTACCATGCTCTCCGTCTCCTTGACGAAAAGCTCGTACCTCAAAGACGCTGGAAGTGAAAATGTTGGCGAGATTCGGATATGTGGCGGTGCGATGTTCTCATCTTCCACGGAATAGGACCCGGGCTTCTGGTTCGAGTCTCTAGCTGCCTGTGACTCTTGTCGATTTCTGGCCTCACAGACAGGAGGCAATGCATTTCTGCGACTCCGAGTTGGCCTTGGCCGGCTAGCCTCTTGGTCTTCTTGCAATGAAATCGGGTTGTGAAGAACACCTTTGTTGCAATCTTTCGGAACCGCAATCAGAAGTCCGCACAGTCACTTGCCGTCCAAGTGCCGTCATAGAGTCCCTCAAGATATTCTCGCGGGAGGTCCTGAAGCATGCACCAGCTTCGATGCACGAATGCTCCGAGAGGGCTGCTGTCCTGATGGTCGTTGATGCCCCTGTTGTTCTTCACAAACTCATCCTTGGTCATCTTGTTCTTGATGCCTGCAGAGATCCAGGAGCAGTGCCGAAATCTGTCAAATCTGACAAAACCGCAAGGATGTTCAAGAGCACCCCGAACTGCCGAAGGATCCTGTCAAGCCTGGGTTGTGGAGGTCGGTCTGCAGCATGATCAAGGAGAATGACAGCACCTTGCAGCATGCTCAGCCTCCAGATCGATCCAAAGTCTTGCGAGTCTTGCTGTGTCAACGTGCGGGCAAAGGAACGAAGGCACAGTCCGCATTCGCAAACCGCTCGGGGTTGTCGCTGCAGTACTTCTCCGCAAACTTCTCCATCATCCGATCGATCTTCTGGGCCTTGATCGAACTTTGCTTGGTCGAATGAGGGCAAAGGGCCCAAAGGGCCAGCGGCCTCTCCCGGGAGTCGGAAGTACGAGAGGAAGTGTCTCAACGATCCGTCCAGGGACTGGCGGATGCCGGGCTGATCCATTTTGTCCCGAGAAACCCACAAGGGTCAGCGTGCCTGAGCCTTGAAATCCAAGCCGTCAACAAGCGCAAACAGTGCACTTTTGTTGAATGGCTTGTCCTCGTCGCATGCCCGAACAGGTATGATCAAGGTACACTATGCGGGGGAGGGCTCAGCATTGAAACTTTCAGAACCATGACCTGGCCTCACCCAAATAGTCACCGATGGCAGTCTTGTCCAGGCCTAGGTTCTTTGACCGGCACACCGGTTCCGATTTCGTAAAAAGCACAGTGCAACATAAGCCCTCAAGCCTGCTGCAACACAGCCGTGGGCTCCATACAACGCACCACACCGAGTATTAGGCGCCCAACCAAGCTCTGTGTTCTTGAAGAGCACAGCGAGTGAAGCCGGGTCGTCGGTCAACTGGCCACGGGGGAATATTGCTGGCCAGCTCGAATTTTGGACCCTTCGACACTGAGATGCACGCAAAGCCGTTCTTCTTCAAGTACTCGATGCCACGCTTTGGCTTCATGTTGAACCTCGCATTCGAACATGAAGACTCGCAAGATCCCAAGATTTTTGGAGCCTTTGGGGGTCGGACTTGTTGATGCCTATTTGCAGGTCTAGCTTTCTCTGCTTCTGCTCTTTGAAGCTGCTCGTTGGCACACCCTGGCTGCAAGGAGCGCTGCCAAGTGTGAAAAGGAAAATTGCCATGACTTGCCGGGACTACAGAAGACTGAGAATACTGAGATGCACTTGTTGTCAGAGAGGGAACGACATCACTCGCATCATCCTGGCACAAACGAACAAAGCTTCCAGAATGGCACTCCAATCGCAAAAGCTCTAAAATCTGTGGTCCTCCCCGTCGCTCTCTGGTCCGTCTTTCGCCTGCTTAGAGAAAACGGGCGTACGAGTAGCTTCGTGGAATTGGCTTTGCTGGGGCTAAGAACGGTTTTCCTTCCAGCTAGGGCCCCTAAACCCCAAAGCCCTAAAATACTTCATCCCTAAACCCTAAACCCTAACATGCCTAAACCCAAAACCCTAAAATATCCAAACCCTCCCAAACCTCCTAATTGGAAGGAGGCCATGGGCCTTGGCATCCTCGCTGCCCTGGCCAAGGATGGGCATCTTGTGATCCTGAGCCCGAGACTCCGAGCGGGAGATCTGGCTCCCTGCTTGCAGAGAGTATATGGTACAGAATAACATGTCTAGAACATGTCATAAAGCGTATATGTATATAGTCTATAGTATAGTGTGTGTATATATATATATAATATGCCGGGCCTCGGCCATCCTTCGAGCCTGCAGGAAGGATTCGCAGAAAGCAGCGGAGGGAGGCCCCGGAATCCGAGTACCAGGCCCAGTCGACGATGGAACCCATCAGGGTCACCTCAACGTCGGAGGGTTCGGCTTGCAGGCATCGTGTGGCGTCAGGGCCCCGAACCAAAGACTGCAAGGCCAACTGCTTCAGCTCCTGCTCCTGCCATAAAAAGGCGACTCCAAGATCCATTTCTGGGCTCCAGCTGGCCTGATGTGGCTGGATGAGGTTGGCATGTTCAACCTGAACCGTTGAAAAACATGCTGCATCGTCGGCTCCTGCAGTGCAACACTTAGATTGCCGCCGCGGTGTACTTCCCCTGAGCGATCTTGGACAAGCAATCGATTGTCCGCTCCTGAATGCACCGACTTGGACATGGCTCCAATGAGCCTCATTGAAGCACGTCGTGGCTGGCCACAGAAGAACATGAAGCAGGTTAGTCAAAAGTCGAAGATGTTCTTCTCGTCTACGTCGCAGTCGTAGTTCAGGAACAGTTCGAGCGGCGTGGTCCTAACAAGCAGTCAGCTCTGCAGAAACGAAACCTCGAAAAAAGTGCTGGGACTTGGGCGCATCTGTGCAGAGTTTGTAGAAGATTTGCAGCACCTAACATCACCCGAGCAGAGCAGCAAGGCTGGAACCAGAGCTCCGAATGGCTGGGCGATAAGCTGCCCACCCTACTCTTGTGAAGGAAGTCAGAGTTCCCGCTTTCTAGGATCTTCAGGAAAATCTGCTCGATGAACACCTGTTGCAAGTACCATGCAAGATGCACACACAGGGCCACTTGAATGTATGAGGCAGCCACACCGATCTCGTCTCTCAAATGCTCCTTGAAGTTCGTTATCAGTGACACCTCAGCCATCTGAGCCGAGCTTTTGCTACGCTTTTCAAGGACTGGCCAAGGTCGGAACGAAAATTTGCAAAGAGAGCCCAAATATCTTTGGGATCGGTGAAACACTGTTCTTGATCAAGGAGTCCTCGGCAAAAACACGCCTTTGTCTAGCAAATCCGCACACCCGGGCAACTTGAGCCGGAAGACGCCCACGAGCTTCTTGAGGATGTCAACGAAATGCTTCGATGACCTTGCACGAGCCAGCCGCCAGGATTTCACCCTCCATTCCCCCCATACTGTGGCTGCCTGAAAACAGGTCCTGCATTTGAGAGGACACCCAAGATGAGCTCAAGGGCAATACGCTTGTTCCTGCAGGTTGGGCCAGAGAATCTGGGCCCCCGGGGCCCCTTTTAAAAAAAAAAGGAGACACTCAGTGTTCTCGCCTGATAGCTCTGGAGTCGGCCTGGCTCTGCACCGACTCCTCGCTGAAGAAACAAGCTGTGACCCGAAGATCGGATCCAGGTGCTTAGAACGTCCAGACGTTTTGGAGTTTCTGTGATCCGGAGATATCGCTCCTTGGCACTGCTGTTGATCAGGTACGTCAGAATGATGATAGAGTCCTTCTGAAATTCTGGACATCTCAGACACTGCAGGGCTCCGGCTATGCGAGCGGCCTGGTGGTAAACGTTCATAGACTTTGCGCTGGAAACATCTGCCATCGCAGAAGACGCCTCGATGGCTTCCCTCTAGCTGCTAGGGCTGCAATGAGTGCTACTAGTAGCGATAGGCCGGTGCTTCGTCCCTGTTCGCGAAGGTGTCCCTAGAGGACTGCGATGGTACAGCCGGAGCGTTGCTGGACACCTCAACAAAGGCTTTCCGACAAAGCAAAGGACAAATCGGTACTCAGAGCCACTCAGCTTTGCTAGTCCGAGTCTCCGATGGAGAGGCTGCTGGAGAGGAGGCCTGCAAGTTGCTACGGGCAAATTGGGCAATGTGGGCTGCTGCCTGAATGCCCGGCCTCCTCTCGCTTTGCACCATAATATTTCTCAACCAGCGACAGACGCTCCAGGTTGCGGTACTTGCACGCATGCCTGCAAGACACGCCAATTTCAAGGCTAGCTTGTGATCAAGCCGCCATCATCAATCATGTGGAAGAGGCTGGCCCGCAAACCGAGTCCCGCGTGTCGACGCAATAGTGGTTGGCAGTGTGTCTGCAAACAACCTGCTGCCAGTGTATTCTCCATCATAGGCGAAAACTACTCCAGAAAAGCCTGCATAACGTAAGTGCTCGCCAGGAAACACACCATCCAAACTTGCCAGGAGGGGGGTCCTTACAGGGGCATCTGCGGACTAACCATGCACATTAAGCAGACACAGAGAAGTAGAATGCCTCACCCTTCTGGCCGTTCTCCTTTTCATGGTTCCAGGCCTGCAAAACAGTCTGGCAATTGAAGAGCATGCACTGTACTGAAACAGATGCATGTGCTGAGACATGCACCAAGGTGTCGATCTTTGCAGACAGGTAAGATGACATCCACTCGTTCAGCAGCTGCCCTGCATGCACTCCATGCTCTCCTTTGCACGGCATTAGTCGTCCAGCCTTTGGGCATCTGAGCCAGGTCCGCGTTGGCATTCGCCTCAGCGCAGAAGAGCGCAGGGCCCAAACCCTCCAAAAAAAACCAAAAACCCTCGCCGCGGGCCGCAGGGCGCGTCCCGCGGTCGGCTTCGGGGCTCCGGGCGAAGGCGGCCGGGGCGGCGGCGACCACGGCCGCCAGCTGCTCTGAGTTCGCGGCGCCCGCAGAAGCGGCGCCAGACCTCGGACCGGAAAGGGACTGAAGGTAAAGTGTACTATACAGTCTCGTACAGTCTAGTAAATTATCGTACAGTACGTCAGAGAGTATATCATCTAGTCATATTATACCGCTGCTTTTCGGATTCGCCTTTGAGCTTTGCCGCCAAGCCGCCGCGAGCCCAAGACCTCCTCCGCTCGGCTCGACCTGAAACCCGGAGGATCTTGGAAGCCACAAGCCGAGGCCGGCACCGGGCGCCGGGCATGTCGGCAGAGCTTAGCTCCAAGCGCTGGGTGATGACCTCAACCCGTGCATCTTCCCTTTTTACCTCAACTCGATGAAAATCTGAGCCTGAGCGCGCCGCTGAAAGCATCTGAGTCAAAGCTGTTTGAGCCATGCGCTGGTTGGACTGGCTCTTCGAGTCCTGCGAAAGGCCCCTACGTTCTGCAGTTCATAAGCGGAGCCGAGATCCGGCAAAACAACAGAAAATAGCAGCAAATAGCCAGGCAAAAGTATGAAGATGATCGTCTGAAGACCCTGGTCCCGGTAGAGCTTCATGCACGTGTCCACTACCAACATGAGGCTCTGGCCGTGGACCTGGGCGAGCAATGAAATCGTTGAATAAGGCTGCGACTGATCGCCGGGCGGAAACCGTGGCGAAATCATAATACAGCAAGTGTCGGCGTTCCCTTGCACCCTACCTTTGCCTGCTGCTCAGCAGTCGATAGAAGCTTCATCTTGCCACGAGCATCAGTGTGGAATTCATCAGTTGCAAACTCAGGTTGCACTATGGCATTTGTGCTGTATTGACTTCGTGCTGCTTTCTGGTGTTATCAGCCAATGACTATGACAGCCAAGCTTAAAGGATTCAGAAACATTCAGAAGCACTCCCTTGTCCGCACGAAGCATTCTGGCCACGTTACATACGAAACACATGATGTTAAACACATCAAGCACGCTTTCAAGGCCTCGCAGACCTGCGAGGTTACAGCAGCAAGCAGCGTGCTGATCATGTGCATCTGCACCTGATCGAATTCCAAACGGAAGGACAAGGCGCGCAGTGCATCACTGGCAGGATATGTTGAAGGCGCAGAGGTGCGTACTGTGTCATCAGCAGACTCTGCACAGTTGCAGACGGAATCCACCACAGCATCCTTAGTGGCGCTTGCTCACACACTGGCATGGCATGACAAGGAGCACTCAGCTTGTCGCAATGAGACGCCGCCCATTCTCTGGCTTGAATGGGTCTGGACCTTGCAAAACTTGCGATAAGCAAGCCAACTGTACAAGGAAATCGTTCTCAAAAGCAGCCTCTGCCAGTGAGGAAGCCATAGGTGATTTGCTTTTGGATGGCCTGCCGATGGCAATAGATTCTAGATGACAAACGAATGTACTGTTGTTGCTTGCGACGCACGTGCACATAGCTAAGCACATGGGCTCTAAGAAATACAGTTGACACTTTTGGAAGTCCGTGGTTGCAAACAACTGTTTGTCGACAACACTGCAACGCGGCGGGCTGGACTGCAAATGGCATGCCTCTAAAGCAATGACCACCAACTTCGGCAGACCTTGCATCCAGTCAGCAAACTGATCAATGACAAGAGAAACTCCGGTACTAATGCACCTGCAGCTTCGCAGCCGAGCTTGAACGACTGAAAGAAGTCATTCGCGGAAACATTTGCACCCGAGGCGGGCAGGTTCTCCATCCTTGCAAAACTCACAACAGCTGCCAGGCAGGAAATCACCTTTGTTCCTCTTCGACTCGCAGATTTTGACCGCGACTCCGGGCGCGGTGCGTTTTCAAGTCTGCTTCCACAACATCCCGCAGCTCCTGTCACTTGGGATATTGTCGTCGAACGTTCGGGAGAGTGACACATGAGATTGAAGTTTTTTCTAAGAACACACGTCCTTGAGTTTTTTCGGGGCCGTGTTCCGAAGCTTCTCCAACGCATCACGCAACACCTGGGCATCTGACAGTAGCCCAAACCCAACCGAGTGCTGATGCTGTTGCAGTTAACACAAACTTGAATACGTAAGAACCTGCAAACAGCCCATTTACATCGCTTGTTGTCACAAACACCATCCTTAGCGGATCAGCCATGGTCACCCCAAGAAGGTGACTATAGGAGGTGCATCTAAGGCATTACAACACGTTGCAACTGTGGACGAGGCCCTGGCAACATCAATCACGCGGTTTTCTGGACCACGAGCTTCGAAGGACTGCGTGGTCTGGATCATCCCACCAGCCTTGGCATATTATTCCGGTAAAATCAAACCGCAAACACAACACAAAGGCTTGATGGTTCCCACAACAACAGCTTGATCATCCCAAGTGGCATGCAGCAGAATGCGCTACATCGGCGGACATAAGCTGAAAAGTTTGCTGGTGTTTCTTTTCACATATTACCATCTAACCACCTAGTGTTCAAATGCAGTGTCAAACAGGGTTTGTAATGAGAACCCTTTGCACCAGGACAACATGCAACATAGCGGTTTCGGTGTGTGGTTGAGGTGAGAATGGAAACTACCCCATTCGATCTTCCATGGCACATGTGCGACAACGTTGAGCTGTCCTGTACATCTTGTATTTTGTGCAAACCTCAGCTTCCTACACACATGCAATGCTTTTTCCGGAACCAAAAGTTTTGACACACTTTCGACTGTCCCAAATTCAACTACAGTTTTTGCGCAACATCAAAACAATCAAGGAGTATGTTTATATGTTTTTGCATGTCAACTTGCTGCTGGTATGCATGCGGCTGCGACTGCTACTGCTACTGCTACTCCTTCTTCTACTACTCTGTCTCTCTTTTTTTCGTCAGGTCTCTCTCTCTCTCTCTCTCTTTCTCGTGGCGCGAACGTCCGAAAGCGTCCTCAGCATGGCATTGTAGCTGAACCCGGATGCTGATTTCAGCACTTTCGTTAGCTCAAAAACATGCAGTCGGGACTTCCTCGCCCGGATAGCCCCATTCAGCGATGAGTTTATGTGCTAGATCAAAAAGATGATCAGCCATGGTGGATGCACTTCGGTTGTGCATGAGAACATCACCACTGTGTCGCTCGCCCTTGTGTTTGCAAGCACAGTCAACAAATGTAAGTAAATATATTCCAGCCATCACTCGCTCTGTACATGTGCTCTTGCTCTCACTTGCTGCGAAAAGTGGCAGCCTGGCAGCAGTTGCATACAAGCATTCGGTTTTGCATTGGCTGGTTGAGAAAGCATCCTTTTTCTGGTAGTCACATTTGATAAAACTGCTTTTGTCACTTTGTGCACGTTGGAGAAAAGGATCAACCTAAGACACAAAACAGAGAAGACACAGACACAGAGACAGAGAACAGTAAGAACAACGCGCTTTGGAACTCTTTTCGCAGCGCCCCAGTTTTTATTTTTGTTTCTATCCGGTGTTTGACAGACTGCGTGGTTGGTTCATCTTATTTTTTTTGACCTTTCTTAACCCTCTTACCCTAAACCCTCAACCCAAAACCC